TAAATTTTAATAAATTTTTTAAAATTTTAATAAATAGGGAGAAGAACCCACTCATAATCGGATAGTGCCGCTCCTAACGCTCGGCGGCGCTGGCCCTAGCGGCTGCGGCGCGCGCGGTAAGGAGAAGAAAGGAGGCGTATACCACGGAAATCGACTGAAATGTTCAGACTATTATAATTCCGAGCACTGTTTTAAGTAAACTAGTTCCTGCGCTGATGTAGCCACCGCGATGTACTTTGCCTCCGCTGTAGATAATGCAACATATTGTTGCTTTCTTGAAAACCAGGATACCGGATTATCTCCATGTAATATAATATTACTGCTTGTACTTTTTCTGTTTCTCCTGTCTCCTGCCTAGTCTGCATCCAAATATGCTAGAAGTTTTCCTTTATTTTTATTATATATTAGTCCTAAATTTTTAGTCTCTTTTATATATCTTAGAATTCTTTTCGCTGCTTGCCATGTTTGTTGTGTTGGTTTATGTAATGATTGACTCCAAAAGGATACAGAAAACATAAGATCAGGTCTTGTTGTAGTCGCCAGATACATTATGCTTCCTATAAGTTCTCTTTAAGGTACATTTGTTACTGTATCTTCCTTTTGGATTTGGAATCCCGTTTCCATTGGCGTAGTTATGCCATTGCATTCGCTCATGCTGAACTTTTTTAGTACCTTATCTATTAACTTTGGTTGAGTAATTGACAGTGTTTTGTCCGTTCTCTTGATAGTCATCCCCAAGAAACTATTTATTGTACTCATATCTTTTGCATTAAATCCTCTCTTAAGCCAATTTACAGCCTCTATAACTTTATTGTTTGTTCCACATAGTATTATATCATCTACATAAACCAGCATATAGACTCCGTATCCACAATATAGACAGAAGTCATGCAGCGATCTTTGGAAACCGTTTTTTAAAGCTTCTTTGTTGAATTTGTTATTTCAGCTTCTGGGAGATTCTTTTAATCCGTAAAATGCTTTATTTAGTTTAAGAACCTTTCCTTTTTCTATTTGTACACCTTTAAGGGGTTTTATATTTATTTCCGTTTCAATTTCTCCGTTTAGAAATGCCGTTGGAACGTCCAACTGTTCTATTTATAAGTTTTGCTTTAGTGCGTACAAAAGCAATAATCTGATTGTTGACATCCTTGCTACCGAAGCATAAAGTTGATTCAATGACTCTTCCTTAACTTGAAATCCTCTTGCTACAAGTCGTGCCTTTTTAGTGCCATCTTCTTTTGTACGAAAAATCCATCTAGTGTCTATGATGTTTTTATTAGGCTGTGTTACTGCTTCTATTCACGTCCCATTTGTTTGATGAGATTTTAGTTCCTTTTTAATTGCCCTTTTCCATTCATCGTCTTTTACTGCATCTTCATATAATTGAGGATCTTGATCATTTGTTAAAAGACAGTATGCTATGTAAGTTTCATATTCATCTAAATGTTTAGGTTTATTTACTTTTCTTTCTAATTTTGTAGTACGCGTTTCTTCCTTAACTGGAGGTAGAGTTGTGGGTGTTTCATAAAGTTCTTCCTCTTCTTCTAAAGTATCGTTGTCTTCTTCCTCTTCTGCAGTATTTTCCGTAATTTTTTATTCCACATTTTCGTTTTGTTTTGACATATCTTGGTGTTGTAAATGTTTAGAAGTTATTCTCTTGTCCTCTTCTTGTTTGTACAATACCTCTGATTCGTCGAATATTACATCTGTGCTTTTTATTATCTTATGTTCTCGACTGTCCCATAATCTGTAACCGCCGCCACAATATCCTATCATAATGACTGATTTAATTCGAGTATCTAGCTTATTTATTTTTGGTAATTTGATAATCCATGCTTTTGATCCAAATATCCTTATTTTTGATAAGTTATTTTCTTTACCCCAAATTTCTGCAGAAGTTTTATTTTCTCCTCTATTTGCTGTCGTAGGGCATCTATTTAACTCATATGCCGAACAACAAATTGCTTCTTCCCAAAGATATCTGGGTAAATTCATTGCGGCGAATTTTGTTTATGTTCTCTCAAGCATGTTCTATTCATTCTTTCTGAAGTGCCATTCTGCATTGGTGTATACGGTAATGTATACTGCATCTGTATTCCTTTTAAATTACACCATTTTTTTTTTATTTAATGTAAACTCTCTTCTATTATCCATTTTTATTGCTTAATTTTAACTCCATGCTGCGTTTTTATCAATTTTATGAATTCAATTAAATTTTCTTCTGCTTCGTCTTTCGTTTTCAATAGCTTTACTACCAGAAAATGAGAATAGTCATCAATAAGTACTTGGAAATACTTTTCTCCTTCTAACGTGGGAGGTTCAATTGGCTTACATAATTCAGTATATATCAGATCATCAATCTGTTTGCTTTGTTTCTTTTGACTTACAAACGTTCTTCTTGTGCCTTTACCTTTAATACATTTATTACATATCTCATTTGAATAAGGTAATCCTAATATTTTTAAACTCGTTCGGTTTAAATGACCTAATCGGCGGTGCCAGACGTTCGACATTTCTAATGCACAAAGTCCCTGAAAACTCATTTTATTAATAGGATTAATGGTTAATGTAAACATGTTACCTGGTCTTTCATCGCAGTATAGTTTGAACTAATGTCCTCTCAACTGCACAGAGCTTCGTTTAAAAGATACTTCGTGACCTTGCTTAATCATCATTGCGACTGAAATTATTTCTCATACCGTTTACAATTATAGCTTGGAATGTGACCTTTTTTCCTTAGCAAGTCCCTTTAAAACACCCAGTTTTTGTTGCATACTTCCATTTGCAGCCTTTATATATATTGGATGTGATAGTTTTTCAACCTTTGTTAAATATGACTCCATCTTCTCCAATACCATATGGTTGGATGCTCCTGAATCTAGAATAAAAATATTCTTGTCTTGAATGATTTCACAGTTCATTGCTAGGAAAAACTAATTTTCTCTTTTTTGCTATAACTTGATTCTCCTTTAGCTTGATTTGCTTGACCTCTTGTGTAGCTTGTCTTGTATTTATTTGTTTGTTCCTTTCTTCCTTTGTCTTTATTTTTATTTTTAAACCAGCATTCTGCTAATTTATGTCCCGGTTTGTTACAATTATAACACGTTATCTTTAAGTTTTGCTTTAAATGCCATTTCATTACCACCTTTATTGTTGTGTTCACGTTTGGGATCTATTTTTTTATTTTCTAGCTTTAGTTCTTCATCTAAAAGACGGCTTTTGACGAAATCCATAGTTATGTCTGCATTCGAGGGAACTGTTTCGATGGCTGTGATGACTGCATTGTGATTTTTATTTATTGGTAATAAAAGGTGACATACTTTATCTGTTTTTTTTCATTTTAGAGCCTGCATTATCAAGTTCACGTACTATTGTGTCGAATTTGAGGAAGTGATCTTCCAATTTTTTATTTAGTCTACATTTTAAGCCTAATAATTTCTTTTTTAACTGTAATTTACTAAAGATGCTTTTTCTCTCGAATACCTTTTCTAATAATGAAATCATTTCTTTTGCTGTTTTTGCTTCTTTAATTAAATCCAAATGCTTATCAGATATGTATTGAACGATCGTTGATTTTGCCTTTGCAAAATCTCTAATCTCAAATTCTTTCTTTGCCTTTTCCTCACGAAAGTCATCCACAGTTTTCTCCAAGTTATCCAATACTTGCCTTTCTGCGAGCAGGGTTTGTAGTGTAAATTTCCAATTGTTGAAATTTTTCGCGTCTAATTGTGGAAGATTCACTATTTGTGTGGCCATTTTTATACTTATAACTTTCTCAAGAAGATTTTTCTTACGTATACTGGGCCCATAACCTGTTGTTATATTAAATTTCCACCTTTTTGTGATTATAATATTTATTGTTATTTATATAAACTATTACAGTACGTAAAGCTTCTCTACATCTAAATCTTGAGTATATTGTTCGTCTAATTAGTCTTATAGAAACTTCGAGAGTACACGCACTCATGCCATATCTACACACATCCATAATTCCAACAGTCATTAACTTTTGAAGGGGTTGACTTTATGTGAATATTTACATTTTTCTGAAAACATGTTGTTGAAGGTATCACGTACTATTGTGTACCAAGATACGCCAACAGCGTAGAATATGAGAGAGCGCATTATTAATGCCTTAAGAAATATTACTCCACAAGAAATCGCAACAGCAAGGCACTCGTTTATCGAACGTTTCTAAAAATATATTGACGTGAATGATGTGAATATTTTGAACACTTATTAAAATAAATAAACAATATTAACATAAAATAAATAATATTCAGATTTATTGATCATGCCATGTCATTCTAGTGTGATTTTAGAACATAAGGTCATCTAAAGGTCACATTGTTATACATGATTTAACTTCTTTCGGAATCAATTAAAACGTCATCTACTTTAAACCATATAATTCCATTTAAGAAAATATTGATGATTTTGAAATAACCTTTAAAATGACCTTGATATGATTTTTTTAATTTTACCATTGTACCCAGTGTTGCCAACGTAAAATCTTTTTCACCGTCAGTTTTATTTTAAAAAATTAGTAGAAAATCGTCAGATTTTAAATGAATAACGTTAAAAACCCGTTAAAAATTTTTCACGCAATAAATGTTATAAGTAATTAAGCACAAAATATTAAAATGCGCATTCTATTAAAATGTAATAAAATTATACGCTATAAATTTTTTCGTGTACACTTTATATCAAAAAATTACCTTTTTTAAAAAAAGGTAAAAAAAGGCGCCAAGTACACGCTCTTGTCACAACTAAAACAAAACCGTATTGTTTTATCTTTCAAAAAAATTGTCGTATATATTAAACTTTTAAAAAAAACCTGTCATATATATTATCAAGAGATATATTAAAACCTTTCAAAAAAAACTTGTATATATTAAAATTTTCAAAAAAAGCTATTATATATACTTTCTACAAAAAAATATGATATCAGGAAATGGCACCAAGTGGGACTAAAGAACTATGAAAAAAGTTGTACACTATTTCTATAAAACTCTTCTATAAAATTCTAT